GCGGCAATTCCAATGACAACTTTACTGCATATTTGTATGAAACACTCTGGTTTAGGGTCATCCTTCTTCATAACAATTAAAATTACTATGAAAGTACTCCAAAGGGATTTCAAAATTGATTCCTGACGATTTTACTGGTAATACTCTGAATTCTCCCTTCAGAAGAGAATTAAGTACTATTAAAAATGTGGCTTGTATATTCCTCCTAAATGAAAGTCAAGGTGTCAGGGGAGTTCCAAGGAGAAAATGTGCTCGCCAAATGTGACAAGCTCTGCTCTTATCTTCCCTATTTCATTTGAAGATTTGTAGGGTGAGGATTGAGGGTTAAAATTTGAAAACATGTTTATATTAAAACAAACAGAACTATATTTTAGATTAAACATTATTTGTATAAAAAAATTAACTTGAAGTTTCCTCTGCTTTGAGCACTTGGGTGAAAAGATTTAGACACGATGAGGCACTGAAGTGAAAGGAGCCCTGTTCCCATGCTTCTGCTGTTGCTTAGGAATCTTTTGTGATCTAACCAAAGCCAAAATAAGTGGCTCTTGTGTGTCTCTATCAATGTGCTGTTTTATCTGTACAAATCCCCTGTGGTGTTTTTTTTTTCTGCAACACAAATTTTAGAACATTCTCTAAACAATAATTAAACTCGTAACATTCTATAAAGTGTGCCAATGATGCTAATGTTAAAACTAAATTGTACTTCAGGTAGGATCAGATATGTCATATCAATCAGAGGCAGCCACTTAAGAAGGGTTTTATGTAAATGTTGCAGCAAGCTGTACTGGGATTTTATTTAAAAAGTCTTCTCCACTGATCTCCAAATCAAGACTGGGGTCTCTAATTCCCACCATGCCCAGAGAGTGGTTTGGAAAATGACTTGTATGTGTTATATGTTTACAAAGCGATGACTCACGTGGTCCAGTCACAGAGAAGCACTCCAAAGACAGCCCAACAATGAAAACGCATTCTAAAACAATGTGAGATGAGTTTCTCAAACTGTAGTGAGGTAAAGATGTCCTGGAAGTAGATTTTTTTTGTTAATCTCCTTTGTTCTTTCCCATTTTATTGCCTTCAGCTGCACCCCCACCTTTACCTGGAGAACCAGCTGCCACCCAGGCCTGGTGGCACACCACACTTTTGTCCCTTCCCCTTCTCAGTATGTCTCTATGACAATAGGCCCCAAAACAACCTGCAAAGGAGACTCCAGCTTGGAATGTGGAGAAGTAGAAGAGATGGTGGAGAGGAAGGGCCCAAAACATTCACAGGTGACAGTGCTGTGCCATGCCCTACTATACCAAGCCTTGCCCCAACACCTGTCTACCTATTATTATGGCCCTTGGAAAAGTTAATTTATGTTCCTATGCTTCCATTTCTTCTCTGAACAAGTAAGAATACCTGAACTCACAAGAGAGGGACAGGTGAAGTTCACACCATGAGAGGCCCTTAGAACAGAACATGCCACTTAGTCAACCTGACTATCATGTCTGGGCCCTGGCTACAGAAAAACACCTCTGGCCTATTGTTCACTGTGTAAGTTTGGAGAGGGAGTCAGGCCAGGTTAGCTAGCAAATTCCTCCTGGAGCAGACCTCTACCCAACTCCCCTGATTTCCACCCTCCTCTTCCCATCCCTTCTCTTTCTCTTGCCAACTCTAAGCTTGGCACCTCTTTGACCCTTGCCCCGATGCACAGCTGTTATTTGAGAATAAACTTGGATTTGTTGGGGGTGGCAAGTTCCTTGAGCTGTTGACAATGTCAATCATTTTTCATCTTCAGAAAGTTGACAAAGTCTGTGGTCAGCTAGCAGAGCCCTGTCATTATAGATTTATTCCCTCTGATACTTGTTTATTTAGTTTTGCTCTGCACTGATCCGAAGAGATGTATTTAGTGGACTCTACTGTACCTTCTTGAAGCAGGAGCTCTCTAGAATACAAGCTGTTTGTTTCTCTCAGGCTTAGGATTCCTTACGCTCTTGATACACTCTACAGTCACCTACTTAGTAGTTCTTCTACCTTGACAAATATTCCTTGATTTTTATTAAAGAAAAAAAACTCCATCACAGTAATAATATGATTTTAATCACTGTTTCTAGTTAAGAAAAGCAATTTGGAAACAAAAAAAAAAAGCTTCACTAACCCTACTTCCCTTTTCCAAGAATATTTGAGTGAACTAACAACGACCAAACCTAGAAGCCCTGTGAATCAGAGAATTTTGAAGAAAAGGAAGGATTTTCAATGATTTTGTAGATGAGGACACTGAGACTGCCCAATCTTGAATAGCTAGCAAGAGCCAAAGTCATGGTGAGAGTCAAACATGACTGAGTGACCCTGCAAAACAAGACATGCTTATTGTATTAGCAGAAACGTCTCTCAGTGTGGGTGGGTGTGAGAGTGCGTGGGGCATGTTGTAGCAAAAGCTAACCTATTTAAAGTATGGTGGCTATATTCTTCCATTTCATTCATCTCCTTAAACAAGGAAAGCCTATAGGATTTTATGGCCAGTCCCCCTGCGGTACTTGGTTTTGAAACTAAAAGTAATTACACTTCACAGCTACCTGTGTGACAACCGAAAGACCTTGATATATTACTTCTTTGTTACATTTAACAATAAGAGGTACTTAGCATATCTGACTACTAACAATGTTGGTGTGAGATAATTGTTTGGGAACCTAGAAGTACTCATTTAAAGGGTGGAGACTCATGGGATAATTAGCAAACTGAAAACAATCTTAGTTACTGTGGGAAATCTCAGCCACTAGTCTTTAGGTGTTTCTCAAAGTCTGTGCTACTTTCCAGACTTCTTGGGAATATTCCTTGTATTTATTGCACAAAAGTATCTGTCCTTGTGAGTCTGAACCTACACGAAATGGAGGATCTCTGCACTTAAGCAGAGCTGAAAGAAAAATAATGACAGCAAAATAATGACACTTAGCAGATCCCTGTCATCAGTGTTTCAGGTTGAAAGGCTTCCCTTTATTTCAGCTCACTGCTTCCAGGAAGTTGTATTTTTCCTAAATGTACACCATTCAGATGGAGCGTTATTGATCTGAGGAAGTGAAGAAGTTGGGAAAATTCAATGACATATATATGCTTTAAAGAAGCTTATACTTCGTCTTTTTTTGTATGCAAGAAACTAAGCTCCTTAAGTTTTGATATCCGTTATCTTCTTGAACCAGCAGTGTGATTATTTTGGAAGTTGCTGGTTTCAGCATTGTTAATGACCACATCAGATTCTCTACCAGTCACAGAATAGTTAGATTAAAATGAAAACAGTGTAAATAATCACCCAGACTACATTCCTTTAAATTTATGGTAAGAAACATTTACCTCCTATTTTGAAAGGCACATGAGGAAAATCCATTACTAAGGGCCAAGTAGCCAAAGGAAGGACTAAGGAGTAACATCTCCGTTCTTCCACCTGCCTCCCTCCTCCTCACACTTCTATGGACCGTAATAGAATTAGCTTCTGACCAATGGTGGAAACAGCTAGTGAATTGGATGGCTGGCAGGGAAAAAGAGGTAGAGGCTGCAACCTTCACTTTCTGAATGGAAGAGGACCCATGGCAGGAAGGAGGCCGTAATTAGATGACGGAGGGATGACTCTTCAGTCAAACCACAAGAATGTCCCCTGGCTACCTGAACTTACTTAGTCTGCTTCTCTCTGCTGGAAGTGATGGATAGATATTATCTGAGATATTGCTCAGAGCAAACTATGAAGAGTTCACTAAAACTTATTCAGAAATTGTAACTGAACACCTCAAAAAGAGCAAGACCCTTAAGACTGACAAAACACAATTTTGTTTTGTCTAAAGTTTTTACCCACTCAAAGCATTCTCTTAATTCCTTTCCCAGAAAAGAAAATTAACAACAAAAGAACTACAAAATAGACAAAAGATTTGAATACCTGGTTTATTGGGAAAAATTCATAATGAAAAGTTCAACTGCTTCTGCTACAACTTACAAAATAATAACATGAATATAAAATGAGTTGGTTTTCATTATGTCAGTATAAATGGTAAAAAATAACAATAATAATCCATCCAATACCTATTCAGGGAAGCTCACATCCCTGAATTGTCCTATTGCATGGTTTACATCAGACATTTTAGGTCTGTTTACCAAAGAAGACCAGGTTTTAAGTATGTTTAGGTTTCTGTTAGCATTACAATCTATCAGTGCTGTGTCTATGATTAGCGCCCAGTTCATCCTGAGATCAAGAATTCAAGCTGCCTCCTTGTTTTAATGACACTTTTGTCATAGTAATTGCCTTCCGAACCACTACTGCTAGATGGCTTCATCATAGCCATCAATCCATGTTTCTATCCAGTCTACCCAGGGCCTAAACATATAGACACAAAACAGTATAGGTTTCTTCAGATAGCATTTGCCCTCACCCTAACCCCAATACTACTTAAAAAGAGAAATTTTTATCTTAGCATTTCACTACTGAAAGAGGCTTTATTACTGCAACCCACTTTGGCTATGGAGGAATACTTTCCTATGAGACATATCAATGTCAGCTTAGCACAAATGCAATCGCTCAGAATATTAATTAGAAATTCTCACAGGTGATATGCACGTAGGGAACTGAATTGTTTCTTTAAATAGCTGAAGACTTGAAGAAACATTTTTTGTTTTGTATTAAACTTAGAATGTTTGGTCACTGACAATTTTTACCAGTTTCTCTCTCTTCCCCTTAGCCCTTAATACAAACAGCCTGATCTATCTAGCAAAAACAAAAACTTGGTCCGATTATGAAATCCTGGAAGCCTTCTCACTTCTACCTTCTTCATGTTCATATTATTTTACAAATGCAGTATAAATGTTACAGTTTTCACACATAGGAAGATTTGCATATTATTAGTAACTAGCAAAAAGAAATATGTCTTTTTGAACTCCACAAAACATATGTAAAAGATGACTATGAAACTATAACACTATTTAAGAAACATTTTCAACCAAATTACTTGAGCATTTTTGACTAGTTTAGCCATCTGAACACTGCCAGTCATAGGTTCCATGTGGCCTGAACAGTTTCCACCTCTGGATCCAACACGGCAGCAGCGCCTTTCTTGGCTCTCCGTCACACACTAGGCAGATGTGTAGAAGTACCTGGGCTTGGCGTTGCCCAGAAGGTCATCTTCATAGTTGGGGAGGCAGCAGAAGAAGAAGGCGCAGCCAATCAGGATGATGGTGGCCGCCCACCCGAAGCCATAGGCCCAGTTATAGATGTAAGTGACAGCAGAGTCGGCATGAAGGCTGAAGGTCTGAGTGTACTTCACGGGGTAGATTACCAGAGAAATGATCTGAAATACAGCTAAATAGAAGAAAAACATCCCACCACGTGAGTGCGGCATGAATGAATTCACATGACACGTTCTGCCTTTAAGTTTGAATCCACCTAAAAACCAAATGCATCTAACAGATGGGCATGGTGGTACACCAACTGCTCAGGTGGCAGAAGTAGGAGGATCTCAGTTAGAGGCCAGCCTTGGGAATCTTAACATGAGACCGGGCTGTAGCTCAAGTGGCAGAGCACTTACCTAGCATGCACAGGGCCCTGAGTTCAATCACCAATATAGAAAACAAAAAGAGGGAAGGGGGGAGAAATCCACTGAAAACATCCTAAGCAACTAGAGGAATCTAGTTAGTCAAGAGTCAAAAAATTATTATTAGCTATTATGTATAACAGCTACCTGGAACCGAGCAGTGGCACACACACACACACACACACATTTAATTCATGAAACAGAGCTAGAAAACAATTACAGTAATTCTATATTACACATGTAAGTATGTGACTTTGAACTAGAGTAAAAAGCACAAAATTGTGTTTTACATGAGAAAGCAGGATAGTAAGAGTCTAGTTTTATCTTTGTGCTTCCTGTACCAAATGTGGCTAATATATTCAGACAAAATGACATAGACATGTAGCGTGCACACACACACACACACACACACATACACACAGCGCTCAGTATCAACCTTCCCTAACACATTGTTGAACAGTCATTCAACAAGTGAATGATAAATAAGACAATGAACCCATGGTGGGAATGATCCATGTGGGGTGTCACCAGAAAAGCTTCCAGAGAAGACAGGCATGTGAGGAGTAAACAGAAGGGAGACACAGAGGGTGGGGGAGGGCACCCCAGGATGGAAGAACAGAAAGAATAAAAGAAGGGAAGGATCAAAGTGTTTGGGGGGAGTGGGGAGAGTATAAGCAGGGATGTGGAAAGGAAGGCAGACATCAAGATTTCTAAACTCCTTGGTGTGACAGGACGCCATGATTAATCAACATATTGACATGTTAAGCAACTTTAAAATAAACAAAACTTTATTAAATCTATTTTTGTAATCTTTTTTCAATGAGAATGCACAATTTTATAAAGCTATATCAAATGTCAATATGCTGTGTTGCATTCTCATCTCCTAACTCAGTGTCCCCTCTGCACACTGCCACGTGAACAGAATGATCGGGGTGTGAGGCGGTAATCCTAAGACACTGTTGTCACAGGAGGGGCCAACTGGCTGTGTATAGTCCTCATCGCCATTTTTCTCCCATCTTTGTTTTTTCCTATTAGTGCTAGAAATACAACCTAATCTGTTTTTCTTTTTCTTTTCTTTGATTTTTATTTATTTTTCTGCTGCTAGAAAGCCGACAGAAGTCTCCATATCTTGACTTGCTGCTTCTACTCCTCAACTCAATTAAAACAATCCCCTCTCTGGCAGTTTTTGAAGGGCAAACTTGGTACAGTTCTTAAAACATTTCTTGACTTCTTTTATTTTTTAAGTGGCAAACTTATTAAACTTTGTCCTTTACTGCAAAATATTATATGTGTAGGATACAAAAGGAATCCTTCTCTCTTTGACCTCAAATTTCCCTAGTAACCAATGTTGCATATTGTTATTTATCCATTTGGGTTCATCATACATGAAGTTATTTATTATAATGGTTTGGATGAATTCTTACAAAATTTAAATTATATCAGTGTTTTATTTTTCTGATTTTAATCCAATGACATATATAACTTAAAATCACTGTTGCTGTGAAATATCTTAAAAACCAAATAAGACTTTTCAAACATTATTAACACTAAAAATATACTGAGATTCCTAGATTTTTTATTCCTCTATATTCATTTCTTATACCACTAATCAAACTTTAAAAAGAGAGGACAAATAGAAAATTACAAAATGAGAGCAAAACGTTAGGCAGAACCTTTCAGCGACACATGTGTTGAAGCACGCTGGAAATAATTTTCTGTATAGTAGTAACCCTGCTACCCTGTTAGCTTGGGCAGCGGTGGCTAGGACTTACAGCTTTCATACTAAAAGGGAGCAATGGATGAAAGAATTTCACCAGGATACTTTTGATTATGGTAAAATATACGTACATAACATTTATCATTTTAACTACCTAGAGTATAATTCAGTAACAATAAGGACACTCACATGTTGTGTGACCATGCATTATCTAAACCCAAAACCTTTTCACCATCCATGCATAAACTCTATGTCCATTTATAAACCTCCTTAGCTGAGCATGCTGGTACACACTTGGAAGCCTGAGAAAGGAGGATCATGAGTTTGAGGCCGGGCCAGGCTACATAGCAAGACCCTGTCTCAAACAAAACAAAACAAAACATTCCCCTACTTCCAGCCTCTGGTAACTTCCATTCTACTTCTGCCTCTTTAAGTTTGTCATCTATAGATACTTCATATAAATGGAATTCATATAATATTTGTCCTTCTGTGACTGGCTTATTAATATGTCCATCATGTTCGATTCAGCGTGCATCGACATTTCATTCATTTTTATGAGCAAATAATGTTCAACTGTAGGTACATATTTTCTGCAGCCATTCATTTGCTTTTGGCTACTTTGGCCATTTCCACCGCTGGCTTCGTGAAGAATGCTGCCACATACGAGGGCTTTCTGTGTTCAAGGTCCTGTTTTTAATTCTTTTGGATATCTACTTAGCAGCCAGCTTGCTGGGTCATGGAAATTTACTAGGATTCTTCAGCGAAGGTTATTTCTAATGGTGATTAAAGCCCATGTACATCTAGTCCTCTAAGATGTAGGAAAGGAAGAGATATCAAATGCGTTTCTATAATAAGGTCTTGTAAATTTGAACTATGAAAAGCCAAATAGAAATACAAGTGGAGGTGGCGATCAACAAATTTCCTCATGCGTTTTGTTATTCCAAGTCACTTCTGCTTTCAAAATATTATTCCAAAAGCAAAGCTTGAAACAAGAGAAGCATGGAGTAAACTTGGTGGGATTTTTTTTTTTTTTTTTTAAGTAATAGGGTTTGAACTCAGGGTCTTAAGTTATACTCCCGGCCCTTTTTGCTTTATTTTTCAGATAGGATCTCATGCCTTCATCCAGGTTGGCTTTGGACCGTGACACTCCTATCTCTGTCTTCTTAGTAGCTGGGATTATAAGCATGCATACCATGTTTGGTCAAACCTTGTTTGTAATCAAGAGAAAGTTTCAAACGTGTAGCACAAAGCACAGGCTGTGCCCCCCCTGGTCAGTTTCCTGAGGATCCTCACTTGTGCAGCCTCAGGCTCTGTGAACCCCACTTCTATAAGTGCAGGGCACACCACACAAAGTGGTTTTCCTGGTGGCTCATGCTTGAACTTACAGACCCCTTGTAATCACAGGCTTTTGACTTGCTTCCAAGACTGTCTGCTCACATTGGCTTTGTCCCCAGGCCTACAGCTGGATTTCTGCTCTGCTCCTGAGCCCTGGTTGGTGTCTGGAGAAACAACCTGTGGCCTGACTTTGTTGCTATAAGCACCTTGTCTTCCCACTCCCCAGAAAACCTGGCTTTGCTTCTGGATGAGGCTACATGGCTGAGGTCTTGTCCCTTTGACAGGTTCCTGCCTGACATTTCAAATAGCTCCTGCTGCTAAATAGCTAATTCTTATAGTCCACTAATAGAGGCTCATTAGGAGCCCACCCACTGCATAACTAGATTTCTTCATGTCACCTGTGTCTGAGTCACCATTTCCCCAACACAAGTTCTCCACTGCCCTTCTCTGTTCCACTGCAAAAAGCCCTTTCATGAGCCACTGCATCCTAAGATCACAAAACTCAGCAGTGACATGGTTCAAGGACACTCAGTTCCCCTCAGCACAGTGCTCACAGCAAGGCAGCACTGGGGACCACTCTGAGTCCACTGTACCTTCAGGGCTGACACAGCCCTGGTCCCCTCAGTACGTATCAGTGGATGGAGCCACCTAAGGAAGACAGGGACACACAGAGGACACACTTTGTCACATGAATGGGCAGCCCAGAATACTGTCTAAAGCATAAGAGCAAAAATCCTAAATCATATCTCTCCTCTGATTCTTCAGCTCCTGGGAACCTGTTTCCAGAATAGATCAGAAACACTAATTGCCATGGTTCTTCCTGGTGGGATCCAACACCACCCTGCTGACGCTCACTGGGGATGAATGAAGACTGACTGCTGCGTGGTCTTACCCGCCAGGGCCAGGAGGCCTCCAATCACTCTGAGGAAGACGAGCATCTGGGGTCCACAGAGGGCAAAGAAGGACAAGATGAAGCAGATACAGAGGATGATAAAGCCACAGAAGAGCATGGCGGCCGCCGCTCTTCCCCACGCTGCAAGACAAAGGAAACGGAAATTACTGAGACGGCCACAAGTTCTGTGCTGCAGATTCCAGGTCTGGCACAAGTTAAATTTGCTTATCAAATATCAGTAGGGTTTTGTTTTCTTTCTATTAGCTAAAGTTGGATGGAGGGACACATTTGGGGTGTTTTTTTTTTTTTTTTTTTGACATTACGTAAGCACCTTCACATTTTAAGCAATGCAAGCACAGGACACTGATATACTGAGATTCAGGGATGCTTTTCTCTGAAATAAATTTCAGCTTCATTAACCATTTCTCATGTAATAATTTTGCCATTCAAAGAGGTATATGTAAAAGGTTCTAACACAACATGACCATAATAAACACTCCTGGAACTGAGCAATTCAAATTATAAACTCTTTAAGAAATGTTCCAATATCTTTAAGGGATTTTTGTTTCATATTAATGTTTATTTTCATGCAAAAATAATCACTGAGACTATATATTGATGACTAGGCAGAGATGCTACATAAAACAATTATAGAGAAGCAGCTATGATTCTACACCAAGTGTGGTAGCAAACAACCTTTCTACTTTTCTGCTTAAAATTTTATTTCTGAAGTTTTCAGAGTTTATTGCACAAGAGTTCTTAATGATTGATTTGGCCCTAAAAAAAAAGTCAGAGTGAGACAGAAAGTGACTTCAAAGTTGGAAGACCTACATGGGCACATCTAGCCCTGTGTGATTCCACTTTGCACCTGAGGAAATAGGAAGAGCCACCACACAGAAACCATCTAGAAATTTCTATCGTCCAGCCTGCACTGAGTTCCCAAACCTCTCCACCCACCTCCCTGCCTCCAGAGTTACAAACTAACACGAACACTCCCTGAATCCTCCCAAAAAATTGAGGCTCCCACAACCATCATGTCTAGGCTGGAAATGAGGGTGTACTGAAGCTCTGAGAGGTCAGATGACCTCCCATGGCCACACAGCTGGTAAAAGGTGTAGACATTTTGATTTCTAGCCTGTCTGAATGCAAAGCATGACTTTTTAAAGGTATCCAAAATGCACCCTTTTAAAGTATACAACACTGTGAGGTTTGCTACATTCACAGGGCTATACAGATCATTTTTATCCAGGTCATTTTTATCATCCTAAAAAGAAACGCTGTACCCACGAGCAATTACTCCCCCTCCCCCTGTGCCTCCAGCCCCTGCACCACTAATCTCTGTCTCTCTCAATTTGCCTATTCTGTATATTTCTCATAAATGGAATCATGCACCATGTGGCCTTTTGTGACTGACATCTTTCACCAAGCACACTATTTTTTGAGGATCATTAATTTTATAGCATCAATTAGTATTTCATTCTTTTTTATGGCTCAATAATATTCTTTTGTATAGATATCCCACATTTTGTTTATCCATTCATTTGTTCTTAGAAAAACATGTGCTCTTAGGCTTACTCTTTATTGCCTTTGGAAAGGAGACTGGTGTGCCCCTCGCCCTGGTGTCACCTCTACTCTCTAACACACACCATGGCTGTCAATGTCCTCACTTAATTCTAGGTATTTGAGTAGTCAAAACAAAGATGTGGGCTCACAGGAAAAGCAAGGGCTTGGAGCCAAGTGGACCTTGTTCATCCACTGCCTCAGCCACCTTTTGGCCACACGCCAGTCTCCTCATCTGTTAATGCAGGCTTTGTGCCTTGTTGGGAAGTTATTGTGAGGGTGCGCACCATGTGTGAAAATTGTCAGTTGTTATGCCCTGCCCAGTTCCCACTGCTCAAAGGGGTCCTGCTCTATTCCCCTAACCTTTCTCGAGGACCAAGTTTTCTTTTTTTCTCTACATCCACAAGGTTCTACATGTCCCTAAAGATTGTTCCTCACTTTCCTATTGTCACCTGTCACACACAAACCTGGGCTAAGCTCCCGCTCCCCTCTTCAACTCCCACACTCCCTCCAGGGTTTCCTCTAGCTGCGGGAGTGCCTGGGACACAGAAGGTTATTAAGGGGAAAAAACATTTTTATATACCTCAAAAATACTATATTCTTCCACAAAGCAACCCCTTGGTAGCAATGGTGAAAGGGGTAAGATGCTACATGACTGGACCTGTTCTTACTCTTCCCTGCAAATCTTGTTCTTCCTGTCAATTTTAGGGGTAGATTAGAACAGGAATGTTTTACTTTAAAGTGGAAAGGAATAAAGTCAAAATGTGATGTTTAATATGTCTCTTTTCTCACTTTGGCCTTGTCCTTCAAGTTAGGGAATATAAAAGGGAAGGAACCAAACTTTGGAAAGAGCAGTAATTAACTAATGAGAACTCCAAGCAAATCCCCCAGACCAGTGTCATATTAAGCAGTGGTGCTTACTGAAAACATAGATTCCTGGGACTCCCTCCAGACTCAGAGCTTCTGAGATGGGGCCCGGAGATCTGCATTTTAGTAATCCTGTTTCTTATATCCATAGTGAAGTGTAAGAATAAGAGAGATGATTAAACTCCTTACAAAACAGACTCAGCCCTATACAAAGAGCATGTTACCTTCAGTGTGTGACCCACTGTCAATTACAGTCTCATTTCTATAGATTATTGTGGCAACTGCTAATCATCAAGTCCAATTAAATCTGAAGTCCAATTAAATTCAAATATGCAAAGCCTTACTTCTCCTTTTATGAGTTCACAAGCTTGAGACTGCAGAGAGAGGCAACACACTGTATATGCGCTCAGATGGTTAACATGGGCAATACACTGCAAAGCAGAACGCCAGTTTTCAATACAAACCGGAGAACTTTCTTTCAAGGAACATGTTTCAATAATCAAACTTTTACAATCACATCTTAGTGTCTTAAACGTCTAGCTATTAAATCATGTATAATGGTGCAGTAAACGGTAGTATTAATTTTGCCTCTTTATCTCAGAAAATTAACACCAGCAAATTATTGCTACTATTCCCTCTAACATTTTAGCCAAAGCAATAATTTATGCTTAGTTTCAGGTACTTGGAAGGAATTAAGTAAAATAAATAGTAAATGAATTCCTGTTAAATCAACTTAGTTAAGGTCTTGGATATTTAAAATGCTGAGTCTAAAGACAATCAAAATGGAAAATTAAGCAACTTTTTGCCTTGAGAAAGGCTGCGTCAGTTGCAAAACACGTAAAACCTGCTCCTTATAGCCAGAAATCAACACCGCACTGAATCATTTAACTATCAGTTACACATTAATCTTGGCATGGTTCTAAAGATCTTAACTGATGAATGACAGACCAGTCCATGTAAGGCAGTCTACCTTCTCCTGTCAGTGACTATTTTGTTTGATGAGAAGAACCAAACCAGGTCTGAGCAGGGTGCCTGTGACCCAGTGTTCTGTCTGAGAAGGGGACCATCGGTCGCATGATCTTAGAGCATGGCTATTGTCACAACTTACATTTGAAAGGTTAAGATGGCTCTACCTTTCATCTCACTTAGTTGCCAAGAATGGGCCTAATATATATATAAATGCTACTTCTTTCAACACACAGTCCACAGGTCTTTGAAAGCAGGCTTCCCCTTTATCTAGTCAGAACACAAGTCTGTACTTCATTACTATTTTGTGTAACAAATTTCACTGCCTATCCTCAGTGTGTGTGTGTGTTTCTCATTGACAGGTGTCATCCTCTGAATTGAGATCACATAACATGTAATACTCCAAGCAAATAGATGGTAAGTTTCTCTGTAGAAATTTTTGTTTATCTTATTTCCTAAAGTGAAGATCAATTTGGAATTTTATAAATGTATTCTACATATGGTCAAAATTTATTTCTAAGCACTACTTGAAGAAGTTTATGTCATCAAAGAAACCAAAAGCATTATAAATTCACCCTTCAATAAGGTTCATCAAAGATCCCTAGAGATGAACAACAGCTGGTCATCAAACTTAGTTATAACCTGCAAGGCTTGAAACTTAAAATCAAGAACATGGAAGCCAATGAATGTCCAATAATGAAGCCAACTTTTTCCTAGGAGGTAGTTCTGAGTTCTTTGTGTGAAGAAACATGCTGTATTTTTTTATTTTACAGAAACTACACAGGAAAATGCAACATTACAAGGCAAATATGACTAGGAAAAGACCAGTAAGGACAACTGATAAGAAAAGAACAACAACAAAAAAAGTAAAAATAAACACCTTGAAAATCAGGTTAGAAATGATAAACTGAAACTTATGAAGAAAAAATCCTTTTACCTCATGATCAGGAAAGTGTAGCTAATATTCTTATCTGTCAGTAAATACTTTGGAGACTATCACTACTTCCCCCCAAAGTTAGTGCTTCTTTTCACAGATTTGCTACATTCATGAGTTTTACTGGTGGGCACCAAACAGACCAAACCAGTCAGCAGTCCACCCCCGTTGCTTAGGGTCCTGAAGACATCTACACAGCAGGCTTCTGAAAGGGTTCATTCCCTTTCCAGAACAAAGGCTTCATCTATTGGCAACAGCAAAGGCCCCGCTGGGCGATCTGTTTCTATGAGGTTCTTTATGCCCTACGAAGGACAGAACTGAAATCTGGATAGGACCATAGTTTAAAAATAAAAGATCCTATCTACAAAGAAATATGGTCATGGATGGCTATTATAGTCATAAATATTGTTTTTATATATTCAATGAGGAGGTAATCTTCAGTGACTTGGTCAAGGCTTCTGAAACTCAAAAGCTCTTGCTAATCACCTGGGGAACTTGTCACAAAGCAGACTTGATTGTGGGTGGGGGACCAAGACCCTGAAAGTCCAGCAAACCCCAGAGCAGGCCAATGATGCTGGTAGTGACACTTAGAGGGGCAAAACTCCAGAAGAAAAGCAAGATTTCACCTGCAAACAATCTACATAGGAAGGAGTAAGGAATGGCTCAGCAGAGGAAAGGAAGGGGAGCCACAGAGGCCAGCACCCCTAGCTGGTGTGAGATTCCTTTCGTGCTTGGCATTTTCTCCTCAAACTGAACCCAGTGGTACTTGACCTTTCATGTCTTCTTTTATCTAATCAATGAGGAAGGAAAATATCCTGCACAGAAAGAGGTGAAATGTACTCTGAAGACAAGATAACTAGCAGCCAATTGGAAATTCCAAATATCTGAAATCTGTCTGATGGAAGGAGGCTGGAAAGCCAGGATTTCAGGGAAGCACATTTCAGCTCAGCTCAGCTGAAGTGAGAGAGGACAAACAAATAGCATCATCCAAGAATTAGAACTGAGTGACTAGATGATAGAACTGAGTGACTAGATAAAGGGACCCCCTCTGTCCTGAGCTGCTAATGAGCCCAGGGCTTTGGTGAGAGTGAACAGCCCATGAGGCTGCACATTATAGGGCAAAGCCAAGTCAGATCCCTCAAAAGGGACAGAGGCTGTCTGCGTGGTTACTGCTAATCTCAGTTCAGATTCCAGGCACCGACTTTCCACCTCCTTCCCTTTTCTGCTGGTGCATAAACTCATCCCCATCCTTCTCCAATCTGACAAGCTGGCCTTACGATTTGAAATCTGCATAGCTGATGCTTAAGATAACTGCCAGATGAATTCTCTTCTGAAACTGGAAAAGAAGGTGCTGGCTGTGCAAACACAGTATATGTGAACACTCATTCAAGTTTAAGCTTGCAAGTTGATTGCAGTCACAAATACAGATTTTCGTGTCCTTCTTGGCAAATAAAAATCAAAAAATTTAAAACTGTTAAACTAGGTGTTACTTTAGCTCTACCATCAGGTAAGAGAAAATGCCCAGAGTATAATTTGGCCTATTGGTGAGGAAAAACAAGACGACTTGGTCATTCAAAGTTCTGTTAAAAGCCAGGCACTGGTGGCTCATGCCTGTAATCCTAGCTACTCAGGAGGCAGAGATCAGGAGGATTAAGGTTTGAAGCCAGCCTGGGCAAATAGTTTGCAAGTCCCTATCTCAAAAACAGCAACACAAAAAAAGGGCTGGTGGAGTGGCTCAAGGTGTAGACCCTAAATTCAAACCCCAGTACCTCCCCCCCCCCAAAAAAAGACTATCACTAACAGGGAAGAGTATTTTCTTATTAACATTTATAATTTTAAGGAACTATTTGCCTTTATAAAAACATCCATATTCTTTAGCGTTAACGTCAATACTTGTCAGGAATAACCTGTGACTTCACCACCACCATGAATGTATGAATGCTATATTACTCAGTAAAGAAGATAGTCAACACTTTGCAATAAAAAGTCTGTTTCTGAATAGTTAACAATGGTGAATCCAAAGTCTTTTAGAAATGGATGTACACACTCTATATTCTCTACAGAGCATAACTCTCTTCACTGAGATATTGTAATCAGAGCCACCCATCCGCCTTGTTCCTTGCTAAGCAAGATCGTGTGTTTTCATACATGTCTGAGTATGTGCAAACTGCCTATTGCATTTGAGAGACAGCATGACCTGAAAGACAATCTGCAGGGTTCAGAGATGCCTAGCTAACCACACTGTAGTGTGGAGTACATAATTTCTCCACTTGTGTGGCAATCCGAGCCAACAGTTCACGATGGATGTGGCAGAAGAAGAAAGCAGCATGGAAACTCATCTTTACCGGCAAGCGTGGGAGGGGCCCTTCCTTGGAGGTATCCTATGTATTGTTTCTTCCCACGGTCACTTACAGCAGTCTATCCTGGACTGCTGATTCGAATCGAGATCCTGAGCAAGAGCCTGGAGTCTCCTGGCATGTCATCATCTTTGCAAATAGGGTAAGAGGAGTTACTCCATGGTGAGGTTAAAGCCACCAGTGATGGGCGAAAATCAGGTCTGCTGTCTCATAAAAGTGCTAGGAGATTTTTCAAGATTTGTTTGGAAAACTAAGCTTTTCCAAAGACCATTTTCCCCAGCTAATGGAAACAAACTATGCACTGGATGGGTGGGTTTTGTTTGTTTGTTCTTTTTTGTTTTTACAATGAAAAAGGATAATGCTTCAGACTTCCAATTAAAAAAAATAAAATAAAACAAACTAGAAACAAAACCTGCTTATTTCCTTCCAAATACGAAGTAGTATCTCAGTCGGAGGTTGGAACAGCCACACCCTAAAAGGTGCGCTCACTCTGCCTGGCAAGGCACAGTAAAACAGCACTGTGCGCGTTTCCCAAGAAGGCTGTGGCTGCAGCCAGAGTGGCGGCCCCAGTCATGTCCCAGCCAGAGTGCTGCCCTCCTGCCTCTGCCAGCTACTTCCGGAGTGGAGGGCCTCTGAGAATTCCTTGGGTTTGTATGAGTCTGCAATGACGTGTAATCATCAAAATCTATTTTAAATAAAAGACCCACAAGCAAAGCTGTTCAACCCCCTGAAAGAGACTGGAGTTTGAATACATTTTAACTAAAAGATACAATTGTACTATTTCAAAGTAATGAAATCCCTTTAAAAACCTAAAGGATTTAGGATAACACAAACCTTGGCAGGCGCGCGCTTGTGTGTTTTCAGAGAAGAAAAACATAAACTTTGAGGAAAGCAGGAATTCCTTGCAGTCTTTACATTTTATTGCCTGCCTAGTGGGCACCTTTTCAGTGAAAGTTCATCCTCAGAACTTCCAAAGGATTCTAGAACAGATAAGCAACACCAAGCTGCAGATGCAGGCCCTGGAACCAGAAATAGGGTTTGGTTGGAAGCCCCGAGCTACTTTGGAGAAAGGATTAAGTTAATGGTAAAAGTGAGAAAATGAAAAACAGCAGGGTAGCTTGCTTTCTGTTTAAAACTTTAAAACTCAGTAGGTGAAACCTCCTTTGGCTTTAAAGTCATGCTCACCCACTCCCCACGCACATCGCTAATCCTAAATCTCTAGCTGTTACATCTACCGTAAGCAGGGCGGGGGAGGGGGGAGAGGGAGAGGGCGGGTGGGCACCCTGCACCCCTGTGCCTTTTCCTGTTTACAAACCAAACACCAAGGTTTCTCCAGGTTGGAAAACAAGAACACTCCAACTCGTCTTCATTTTGCCGCCCGCACAGAAGATGTGTTCGCTTTTTAGATTTCAAATGAGGTTAAAATAAATCAATTTTCCAAACAACAATGCCGTGCTAAGCCAAAAGGCCACTCCCCAAAACAAGTGCTAACAAGAACTAGCCCGACGGGTAAGATACTGAAGTATCCATTGAGATCATAACTGCTAAAACTTTGCCTGAAAGGTCTTTCTTCACTTAGATCTAGTTAAAGGAAACCACCCTTCTGTAAAATAAAATACTTATATTTTAATCATGAGACCAAGCAGAGGAGGAAGAGAACTAGGGAAAAAACTTCGCTAGGTTTCCAAGAAAATACACTTTCTTCGTTATGGTTACTCATCTAAACCTTTGCAGTGGCTGAAATCAGGCCAGGTAACCGACAGACCTGTGAAATAAAACATGGTCTCAAGTAGGACCATCTGGTTCCGGTTTTGAGCTCAGTTCTTGCTTCATTTTGGTTCAGGTTGGATGAAGAGCCTGAGCTCTGGAAAGACTTTTTTTTTTTTTTTTTAAGCAACCACTACCCTAACCTGGTTGGGATTTTAGGTATGCAGCGGCCGCCTCAGGCCGCGGCCCGGCGGGCTTCCTGGAGGCGCCGGCAGGCACTCACCGTAATCCATGAGGCTCTGGCAGCCATCGTCGTAGGAGCCGCTGCCGCCGCCCTCGTCGAAGCACCGCCACCACAGCGAGGACGTCTGCAGGTGGTTGCTCGACTGCAGCCAGCCGCGGCCGGACAGCGCGATGATGTCGAAGGCGATGGCGCTGAGCAGGAGCAGGGGTAGGATCCACCTGCAGCGCTCGCAGGCCAGGCCGCAGCGCAGCATGTCGTCGGGGAGCGGCGCGGAGCGGAGGAGCGCGCGGGGCACGGGCGGCGAGGAGAGTGGCGGGCGAGCGCGGGCGCCGCGACAAAAGGGAGGAGGCGGCGGGAGGCGGCTCCGGGAGGAGGGAGGAAGGGAGGGAGTCCGGGGCGCGGGGCGCGGGGAGCGGCGCGGGCCCCACCTGGACGGCGGTGACTCACCGCGCGCCCGCCCCGACCTGCCCGGCGGCCCGGAGGGGAGCGGGGCGGGACACCGCGAGGGGCGGGGCGCGGGCTCGGGTGACACAGCGCGGGTTAACCCTGCCTGGGGCGACCCTGCCCCCGCGCGGGGCTCTGCGGGGCTCTGCGGGGCTCTGCGGGGCGCGCACCCCTCGTCCCCTGCCCGATCCCCTCCGTGCGCGCGTCCTTCCCAGCGCCTCCCCGCCCGCGCGCGGTCTGCTGCAGTCCCCGCGGTGCTGCGAGGCGCGGCCGAGGCCAAGTTCGCGTTTACGTGCGGTGGGCGGTGTGGGGGGGGGAGGGGTCCAGCTGCACCTCGAGGGTTCGTGCGTGTGCACCCCAGCCCCGCGTCCCCACCGGGGCTGTCAGGCAGCACGGGCCACCTCCTGCGGGGACCTTTGCACCTTGGACTTGGCTCCCTCAGTCCTAGAACTGTTTACCGCCGGGCTTTTCTGCCAGGCCACGGTCTCTTATCTGCGGGCCCCGGTGTCGGGGTGTGGTCAGCAGAGGAGCCCAGGACCGTGGTGGATGATCACATTTGATTTAACCAAAGCGCGGACCGGCTGCCCCCAGATAACTTCGTGTCGCCTCAGCCCGCATCCATGCCTTTCCATAGTCTCTAGCTCTTTCAATCCCACTTTATCTACTCTATCTTTATGAGTTTTGTCTCACCCAATAAAAAGCACACGTCAGCAAGCAGCCAGCAGCTGCCATCCCACCCCTGCGCTGGGAGCCAGCTTCCGTCCCGGCCGTGACTCCCCAGGTGTGGCGGAGAGGGCGCGGCGACCCAGGGGTGGCGCTGCGAAGAAACAAGGCCTCAGTGTCCGCGCCATGGTGGCCTGGGGTAAATCACTACAATATCCCTGAGCTCAAAGAGTTCTGAATCCGTGTGGTTTCCATTTTCCATTCGTTAAGTGGGAAAGAGACGGGAAGTTCTTAACGTTTCAAATTCGGTGTTGCACAGAAGCGGAAGGCTGCTTGTCTCCCGCAGCTCCCGGACCTTTTTTGAGGAAGAACAGAGTTAGGTGTTTTGAGAAGGTTAGCGTCTGAAACCACAGGAAATCATTGCCCTACCCTTCATTTTACGTAAACCAAGTCCACCGATGCTCATGAGAGGCAAATATTTTCACTTTCAAAGAATAGCACAGGAGAACTCTGCCAAGGGACAGCTGCGTGCGCCGGCGCTGTAGACGGTGACGTTTATGTTCGGAGGGTTTTCAACGCCGATGACAACATTTGCTTCCTTACTGACGCGTAATGTATTTGTGAGGGAAAAATTATATTCTTACAAGCAAACAGTACTGATAATAAACAAAATGGTTGCAGACCAAATGAAAGTTTCACTGGTGTCTTCATGTCTGAACGACCTGAGACTAGATAGAATGTCAATTTCTTCCAGTGAAACGGTTCCAATGGATTCGAAGTAAAGAGCTCCTTAATGCGGAGTTGAATGAAGGAAAGTAGCTGTTCAGATTTTTTTTCAGGTTTTCTTTTTTTAATTTGATTTTGATTAGCATACATTTATTGTATAAAAGGTTTTCATTGTGATATCTGCAAAATGCATATAATGTACTTTGATCAAATTCACCCCACCTATATTGCTCTTTCATAGCCTCCCTCCTTCCCCTCCTTTTTAACAGTTTTTGGTGGGTTTCTATATGTATGTGTATATATGTATATATACTTCTGTTTATTACTTCTATAATACTACACTGACCCTGCGTCGGTTCCAACAATAATGTTGTTGACATGATTCAGGCAGAGGCAGCACATAGTCGTCCAGGAGCCTGCTCATCTGTGACATTGGGTGAGTTACTTAACTTGTTTGTGCCTCAGTTTCCTTATCTGTAGATTGTGTTTGCCCCATAGTTTTGTAATGAGTATTAAAAGGTTGAATATAAAGGTGGCACATGCTTATCACCCCAGCACTCAGGAGGCAGAGGCACGAGGATCAAAGGTTTGAGGCTGTGTAGTGAGATGATGTCTCAAAAACAAAACAAAGGAAAGCAAACAAACACAAAAGCCCTAACTGTAAAGTGGTCAGGACAGTGCCTGGAGGTGGCAAAAGGAGACTGAACTGTTGTTAACCATGAGGACGATGACTTTCTCATGTTTTCTGTTTAATGAGTTTGAAAAGGGGGAAAACGAATCGTGTTTTTAAGAAGCAATTCTATGTATGGATACCAACCAGAGTCACTAAGACCGCGGGGTCATTCATCACAGCCGTATTCGTAGAATGCTAGTGTGCTAGTTCCCCCTACTGGAATATATAGGAATTGCAGAGCCCCTCTCAAAAATGAAAATAGGTACATTGAAGGATTGGGGGCGTGACTCAAGAGGTAGAGCACCTGCCTAGCAGGAGGGAAGTCCTCAGTTCAAACCTAGTACCGCCAAAAATAATAATATTTTCCTCAAAAGTTTCCTTCTTTCAGAAGGAAAGAAGGTGAACATGGTGGATGCACTCTACACGACCATGAATGCAGAACTTTTAAACCTGTGAAACCACCATAAGAAGAGGACTAAAAGGAGAAAAGTGGAAGGGATGAGCCAGTTCGGGTTATAATACATATATAAATGGAAATGTCGCAATGAAACTCCCTGTAGAGTGATCTTAAACAAGCAAAAATGTCTTTTTCCAAAAACAGCAGACAGGAAGGTAAAACAGGCCCTGTCTGGGAATTGGTCCCAGTGGGAGCGTGGAGGAGATAAGGAAAGGGTGAAGGAGGAGGAATACGTGGAAATATTTTGTACACATTTAAGAAAACTGAAAATGAGACCTGTTGAAACTATTCTAAGAATGGGGGGAGGGATAAAGGATCATGATGGAGGGGGTGAACTTAACTAAGATATATTGTAAGCATTTTTGTAAATGCCACAGTGTACCCCCAGTGCAACAGTAATATGATAATAAAAAACAAACAAAAAGAGAAATTAAAAATAAACCTACCTTATGACCCTGCCAAAAAATAAATACATAAAAATTCTAATACTTCTCAAAGTGTCCTTTTTTCTCCTCTTTCCTTTGCCTTCAAAAACATCCACCTACTCCCACTGCTTCCCCAGCTGTGATGACATGATCCTCCTGCTAGGTTCTGGCACAGCTGGTAGGACCCCTGGGCCTTTACTAGGGCTCTGTTGTGACATCCGGTTGAATCCACAGGTAAGTTGTCCCCCCATCGGACAAGGAGCAGTTGGGTTTCCTCTGAACGTGCAAATACTCCCAGTATCAAGCATTTGGCAAAGACACAGGCCATTGCTTTTCATAGGCGACATTCACAATACAGCTTAACTGCTGTGGACCGTGGAGTCTAGAATGATAACGAGGACCGTAGTTACAGCCAGTAGTTGAAATCCAAGAAGGCAAGAATGTCCTTTGCAAATTAACAGTGAATGGGAAATGTGGTAGACCCAGGTTCCCCCACCTTACCTCACCCACTCTCTCCTGCTCCTAACCCACTGCCCCTAGATCTCAGCTCCTCCTCATCCCCCCAACTAGGAGATGGGATGTCCCCAAGGCCCTGTGTATCTTTCCTTCAAAACTTTTCTCACAAATATTTTTGTTAATTTCTCCACTCCCACTGCACTGTAAATGCAACATGGGGAAGGATGGCATATGTCACATGTCACCATTGTTTCTACAACACCCAGTGCCTGGCAGATGGCACTCTTCCCTTAAAAGTTCTTATCAAGATTGTTGTCCTCATCCAGTCTTGGCATGAGATCCGTCAGCTTTCCACATGAGTACCTCAGCTCCATGAAGACTCTTGTGACACTGGACGGAGACTGATTTCCTTCCTTCCCTTCTTCCCGTGCTCACTTCCTGCGTTTCCTCTCTTTGGTTGGCTGGGCATCTGTTAGTCCAGTTTTTTGTTTCTTTGTCGCCTGCTCGGCTGTTCTGTGAAGAAGTTAGGTTGCTCACTGGCTGCAGTGCTTGGAATTAACCCCAGTGCTCAAGATGCAGTGTCAGCAGTGAAAAGTGAGGGCTTCCGTCTCCCTCAGACCCGTGTGACACCTCTAGGCATAGTTAGAGTTTTGTCAGTTTCACGCTGATGTCTGCTTTCTTACACTGGTGCTTAACCCGCATCTCTGAGATGTGTTCCCTGGTGGGGTCCCTCTTGTGCACTAGTGTTTTCTTATGCTACAGTTGTATTTTAGTCCCTGTTCTGTGTCATCACTGGCATCACTGTTACCTCGCCCGCCACCTCATCTTGTAGTTGACCTGCAGCTCTTCCTTTCAGCTCTCGTTTTGCAGGCAGGTGTCCCATCCATTCATGGAGTCACTGTGCTGACACCCGTGTAAAGAGGGTCGGAGCACTTCCCACATGTCAGCAGACACACTCGATATTAGACAACATGCCCTACTGGGGAGATACGGTAAAGACCTGTGAAGCAAGAGTGAGCCACAGAAGGCACTACCAGGCTTCTCTGAGGAGGTGGGACTTTAGAGAGAGCTTTCCAGATGAAGGAACACCTTGGGTGAAGACATGGATATAAGTGGCTATGAGTATTTTTAGGTGTTTTGTTTTTCTTTTCAGAGAATGACTTTATCAGTTAACTTAACCATCCCACAATCCAGCCCTTTTCTATTTTTTGGTGGTGCTGGGGTTTGAACACAGGGCTTCATGCTTGCCATGCAGAAGTTCTACCACTTGAGCCATACCCCCAGTCCTTTTTTTTTTTCCTGATAGGGTCTCATGCTTTTTGCCCAGGGCCAGCCTTGGATATCAAACCTCCTATGTCTGCCTCTCATGCAGCTAGAATTGCAGAGATGAACCACCATGCCCAGCTTGTTTGAAGTAAGGTCTCTATAAC